TTTGTTTAAGACAGCAAGAAAGAGGTGGCGAATTCTGGCAGTCTGGCGGCACGCGATGTGTTGCAACAATTTAGCTCGAGATTGGTTAGGTGACTGTCACGTGTTGCTACGGGTTGCATTTGCTGTACGGTTGCGGTTGGCAGGGAAGAAGTGTCAAAAAATCGGAGATTTCAACAGCATTTGGAGGTATTTGTCAATACCTGTTATAGACGAGAAGGTGCGCAGTGAATGTGGGAGGGAGACCAGGTGTTATTTTGTCATAACGAGGTGTATGATATGCTGACACGAGTTTGTTTGCTCGTTAGTACTGCGAGAATTAGCGTTTGTGCGATATTGCGGGCTTCATTTGTTACAATTACTGCTATATCTGTGTGTATTCTTGTATATTTAATGAGGGCCAATTCCATAGATTCAGGGTATGGATTAAAAATCGTGACTGTTAGATATGTAGAAGGACCTGGGGATTATGGCGTAAAACATCTTGTTGTTATACAAGTAGTGCAGCTTAGGATGAATAATCATTCGATAGTTCATGAAGTGTGGATGATAGTATAGTATACTCGGACGCGTGCTCATTCCAGTTCAGCTATAGTAAAGATCTGCGTGTATAGATTGAGCGTGTTCTATGGGGAAATCGGTAGCGCTTTGTATGCTGCACGATGCGCTCGCTAAGCCTTGCTATAGTTGATGGGTTGATTGTTTTGACAGGGGGGGTACAGGGATTTGACAAATGCGGTGCATGGTATGAATGTCAGGTGTTGCAGCTGTAACTGGTAGCTTGTCATGGGGCGACGGGCGCAGGTTTGTTCAAACGCTTCAAGCCTGCTCCTACACGCTGTGCAATATACAGGGGCGAGATCCCCTGTGTGGTGTTGCGTTCAGCGGAAGGGCTGTGCTTCCACTCGGGTCGGGAGCATAGCAGTCTGTGACTGAGGTAAGTATCCATGTGTAGATATCCGTATCCCTGTGAGAGGACGATGAATTTATTTTTTCCACTTAGGATTCCAGGACCACAATAGTAAGTGTTTTAATGGAATTACAATGGTTTTATACTATTATGTGTTGGTTTATTAGGTTTTAGTTAGGGATACGTGTAGTGTTAGGGTTAGGACACACACACACACACACACACACACACACACACACACACACACACACACACACACACACACACACACATACGTCAACTTATTCTGAAGTACGATGCACTGGAACGGGAATATTAAAAACTAGGGTCTCCGGAACGGCAAAAATGTAAGATCTGCATGGTAACTAAACTTGTGATGCTCTGGAACGAGATATTCTTAAAAATGCGATGCACTGGAACGGAAGTTTAGGGTTGAAAATGCATGGGATCTCTCCCGCGGCACATACCTACCATGCAATATATATGGAGTGCCCCCTCCCCTGGGTGGGAAGGCAGTCCGCCACAGGTGGGAACCGGTTGCGCGTGTGGAGCGTCGCCGGCTGGTGAAGTCCACAGTCAAGCTAAATTGACCCGCTTAACCCCAAGCGGTTGAACCAAGACGGTTGAAGACCCTCGGTCCATCCTTAATTGGTGTCGGCTAAAATTTCTTAAAATAATATAATCTATAATGTACTTTTACATGTTTTTTTTTCTCACTTTTATACATAGTTTTACATTACTATTTTTCTTGCATTGCCTAATCTTTAAAATGCCTTCTCTAAAAAGCACCATCTACCACTATTTTAGTCATTGCAGTATATAGAGACAGACTACTTGCTGTGGGCACGTGTCATTTTTCGTGCAGGGCGATCGACGCATCTACATTCTAACTTAGCCTAACTAGTAGTGTTTTATTTCTTATGGTTCTATAGCAGTGTTCCAGTGCAAAAAATTGGGCAGCTAGCTCTATCAGACTGCCGGGGGCGTAGCTAGGGGTAAATGGATGTGTACGCACACAGGCGGGTGGTCTGGGGGTCCTCCCCCAGAAAATTTCGAAAATGTAGATAGCAGGAGATGGTATTTGAGGCACTTTTGAGTAAATGACTAAATGTACAGCCTTCATTCTGACTACAACAATAATCTTTTTAGTAGAACTATTCTCTTCATTAGCAACAAGATGTGATCACTAAAGATCACTATAACTAATCATGTAATTTTCGTTTTATGATTAAGACATGTTGAACTAACGCAGTTACGCACATTCTTAAACTCTCTTTCTCTCTCTCCCTCTGTGTGCGTGCATGCGTGCGTGCGTGCGTACGTGCGTGCGTGCGTGCGCCCGGGGTACTGTCGGAACGTACCATGGTACTATCTAACATGCCGGACCGTACCTCGCCTACTCCACTAACGAGTCTAGGGAGTCGCCTACGCCTACTCCTTAACCCTAAACCTAACCCTATGAAATAATTG